GTCTAGATTGTTCATTCTTTTCCAGCATTATAGCACATCAAAAACCTCTGTTATTCTTGTAGTTGCTTCAAAATTTAAAGGGTAATGAAAGAGAGGCCCTCGCAGCACGATTACTCAGCCCCTTGCTTTTTTAGGGACTAGGTTTGCCAGGGAGGCTGGAGAACATCTTGGGTGGTTCCTTTGTCATCCTGATCGAGTACTTTTTCTGCCCTCAGGTACGTGGTACTGACCACAAAGCATCATGAAGGCTTCACCAACTGGGGGTCGCCCGTGTCCTGGAACTGGAACTCTTTGGACACGGGGCCCCACCGAGATCTTGTAGGAGAGCTGGGAGAAGCCCTCAGGGAGAGGTATGGCCCTGCCAAACTGCGCTGTTCCTTTCGTACGTGTGCATGGAATTCTCCTGGCAGATGAGTTTAATATGGAAAAAGCAGTGCTTGCAAAGTCATGAAATCTTCTGCGAAATAATAATGCCAGTCATCTAATCTGCCACTGGTTCTTAATCCCTACTGCCGGCTTAACTCTTTCCTCTGTGTTTTCTGTCCTTCAGCAACATACGCTATGGACTGTACCACTCCCTGCTAGAGTGGTTTAATCCACTCTACCTTGCTGACAAAGAAAGTGGCTTCAAGACCCAGAACTTCGTTTTAAAGAAGACGATGCCAGAACTTTATGATCTTGTCTTAAAGTAAGAGCTGCAACCAGTTAGGAATCAAGAGCATTTCCTGGTTTCAATACTGTAGAGAAAGATGCCAAGTGGATGCAGAGAAGAGAGGTGACAGATGTTAGTTTTTGCCAGACAAATCTGTTTACTTGTTGGTAATGATTTGTGGTGATGAGAAAGGGGGTTCACATTTGCCCTTTGGACAGTCTAACTTGTAGAATAAGATAGAGATGTTTTTTTCATGCAAGAGCAATTCCCTTTAACGCTGCCTTTGTGCAGGGAGGCTTTGAAAAATGGAGCAAGCTGCTTAGTGTGTAGTAGAGTAGAAGAGCAATTTCACTGTGAATTCACATCCTTGCCTTGCTTCCCCTTGTTGACAAAAATACGAGGCTTGGACACATGTTGCTCAGAATGGCCGTTGTCCCAGGTCAAGAGTGTGCCTCGTAATTGCCTTTGAGATGCAATCTTCTGGGTTTTGGAAGAATTGCATCCTCTCTTGAGCTGCGACCGACACATCATTCTTTGCTGCTGCAAGAACCTCGCGTAAAGCTGTGTCTGAAGCAGAAAGTGATAGCATGAATCTCCTGGAACTGTCAGGCAATAGGAAGAGGTGAAGCTAAACTCCAGCTGCAAGAAACACAGTGCTTCCTTTGTGGTAGGGGAAAATAAGCCATTTTGAAATAACATTCATCTCTCTGTTAGATATAAACCAGATTTGATTTGGTCGGATGGAGACTGGGAAGCTCCGGAGTCGTACTGGAATTCTACCTCTTTCCTTGCCTGGCTTTATAACGATAGTCCCGTCAAGGTATCACTTTCAGCTATCCCTCATGGCCGCTGACATGTTATGGGTATGGAAGGTCTGGCAGCAGTGAGATATGAATGTGATCAAATCAGAAACCTGCTTGACAGATGCCAAATGTGCTTTATTCTTTTACAAAAAAAGCAGCAGCTCACGCTGTGCTCCTGTGAGGAGACAAGTGTCCTTTACAGCACACACGTGGGAGGCTCAGAGGCCAGGAACCTCGTTGCCTCAACTTCTGCCCGAGTGAATACAGAGAGGTTCTCCCAGAGAGGGATTCAGCCTTCTCTGGAGGATCCTCTCTCTCTTTCCGTTGGTAAGAGAGGGGGTTTTAGGTACTTTCCTCCTGACTTAGATGCCTTTGCTGACTTAGGAGGGATGACTGCAAGCTGAAAAGTCCAAGACAAAACTTTCTCCCTGCTGAGCTTCGTTTCTTCTTTCAGGACACCGTTGTTGTTAATGATCGTTGGTGTAATAACTGCTCTTGCCATCATGGAGGCTACTACAATTGTGCTGACAAATACAAGCCAGGGACCCTGCCAGCTCACAAGTGGGAGATGTGCTCTTCCGTTGACAAGCTGTCCTGGGGCTATCGAAGCAACATGGACATTACTGAGTTAATGGACGAAGCGAGTATCATTGAGGTGAGATATCTGAAATCGAAATGACAGATGCAGGGGAGTTACTGAGAATTAGAGGTTTCCCTCATCCTCCTACTTGCGGGAAGAGTTGTCAGGTGTTCCGTACAATCAGGCTGGAGTTAAAGGAGCAGCTGATGAGGACAAAGTGTTCCTCAGATTCCTTTGTTGTCGGAAGTGATAGTAATTCAGTTTGTGAGCTTGGTTTATCTGTCACAGGAACTCGTGCAGACTGTGAGTTTTGGAGGCAACTACCTTCTCAATGTGGGACCTACAAAAGAAGGGGTGATTGTTCCCATCTTCCAAGAAAGACTTCTGGCCCTTGGGAGGTGGCTGGACACTAACGGGGAGGCAATTTATGACTCGAAGCCGTGGAGAGTACAGATGGAGAACAGCACAAACACGGTCTGGTAAGGACTCTGTTGCTCAGTACCATCTGGGCTGGGACTTCCAGGGCTGACATTTCTGTCTTATTTGTTCTTGAATTTGGTGCACTCTGAAGTGTTGCCATCAGGTGCAGATGGTGTTTAGGTAATATCCTACAACTGGAGTGCTGAGTTACTGCCCCAGGGTGTTATCTAAGGAATATCTTGCTGGAAAGAAGAGAATAAAAATCAGGACTTCCTCCATCTTGCTTGGTTTGGAAAAAAAACAACTCTTCCTTTAAAAAAATTTCCATGCTGCTGCTGTCAGGACTGTTTAAGTCGTGGTCCTGGCTGGTTTGAGTTGTAAAATGCAGACATTTGCTTTTCAGCTGCTCTATAACAGCACTGATCACTGTCACCAACCGTTAGATTTAAACCGACTGCGAAGGGCTCAGTGAGTCCCGGGCCAGAGGTTGCTACAAAACAGAGCTGTTTTTTTTCGTCAAGTGTGTCCAGTCTGGAATGCAGAGCAATGACGGGATACAGCAGCGTATCCGCGCTGTTCACGGCAAGCTGAAGCAAGGACAGATCGCCAAATGACATTTGCTCTCAGAAACCACGCACGGACTTTGTTTGGGTTACATCAGCAGGTGATGACTGGCCAAGTGGTGGGTCCAAAGTGACAAATTTTGGAATGAGGGGAAAGTAAGTGACCCCTGTACAGTGAAAGCAGGCAAGCTGGTGTTCTTGTCCTCCCTGGAAAGGTCAAGCTTGTGTCTGGTTCTCTGTCTTATGGGGCGCTTCACCTTGCTGAACTCTTGCTCTCCTACCCTTAGGTACACTTCTAAGGGACCAGTTGTCTATGCCATCTTTCTGATCTGGCCTCGGGACAACGTTTTGGAACTGTCCTCACCCACTCCATCCCCAGCCACAGAAGTAAGGAACTCGAAAAAAAGATGACATATTCTGAGAGCCCACCTTGGGCATGGGTGGGCTGGGAAGTCCAACCTGGCTTCATTTGGAAACTGGAGAGAGTATGGAAGTTGTCATCCCATGCTTCTTGTTCTGGGGTGCTCTGGCTTCCCTCCAGATCCTTGCAGCATCCTAGGTTATTCTCCAGGCTTTAGCCCACTGTTCAGCACAGAACATTGGCTACGACTTGCCAGGACAGGCTCATAGTCTGCCATAGAACAGGCAGAGACACTTTTCCCCCAGAGTCTTTTGGTCCTGTTGACCCAGGGAGGTGAAATAAACAACAAGCCTCACACATAGAAGGGGTCACTGGTATTCCATCTCAGATTCAGACGAGGTACACTGGTATTACATCTCAGATTCAGACCAGGTACACTGGCCCGCTCGTTGCCAACGCAGTTGTGAGTGACGCAGATGCTCGAGTGCCCTTTGCCCTAGACAAACAGAGGCAAAGCCTTCTCAGTAGGAAAAAAAGAGACAAACAACAAACTAGAGTCAAATGTTTGGCCGCAAAACATCCCGTGTGTTCCCTTTTGTGCGCTGAGTGCTGGGTGGAAATGTGCAGGACGCTTTGGATGCCTGGGGAGGGCTGTACAGAGACTGGAATCATGTTTTGGGGTGTCCAAACGGACAGTACCTGTGCGAGCTATGACTGATGTCTCCCTGCCCTCCTCTGCAGGTGACGATGTTGGGTTTTGCAGGGACTCTGAAGTGGCAGAAGTCCCCCGGTACAGGACTGCTTGTAACTTTGCCCTACATGCTTCCATCTCCTCTGCCTCCTCAGTCTGGCTGGACTGTTAAGCTGGAGGGTGTGGAGTGACGGCTGCGGGATGAGAGCAGCCATCTGCCCCTGCCTTCCTTTAAACTGAGTCCAAGAGGATTTTTCCTTTGTTGTCAAATAAATTGTTTTTCTCTTAAGAGAATCTCTTCTAATCCTTTTTGTCTGTAAGTGATCTGTGTGCCACGTTTGGCAGCAAAGGACTGACCTCTCTGCAGTGGGAAGTTGGGATTCCTTCGCAGTGTTCTGCAGGGATGTGACGGCCCGTGAGCCAAACATCTACACATGGAACAAGAAGGTTTTTGATGTAAAGCTGGGCTTCAGGACAGGTGTTACTGCTTCAGTGCTGTGGCTAGACAGACTCAGAGTTGGTGGGAGACTGAACGGAGCTGGCATGGGGCAGTTACAAGGACCGGTGCCGGGGTGTCAGGCCAGGCCACGTGGTGCCAAGGTACAAGTGCGTGAAGCTGACAGGTCACGCAGCCCAGAGGGTGTGTGTCTGCCAAGGAGGAGATGCACACGTTAATGGCGGGAGGATGTGGACTGTCAGAGCAGCTCACGGGACATCGAGCAGCGGGAGCTGCGTCCGTGTTCATGTGCACGTAGCCAGTGGTGGTGAGGTCCACACCTCCCAGGTGGGAGCAGGCCCTGCCACTTCCCTGGCTTAATTGCTCATGGAAAATAATGTTGATAACCAATGTGATATTCTTACATGTGGAATCATAGAATCATGGAATGGTTTGGGTTGGAAGGGACCTCAAAGACCATCCAGTTCCAACCCCCCTGCCATGGGCAGGGACACCCTCCACTACACCAGGTTGCTCAAAGCCTCATCCAGCCTGGCCTTGAACACTTCCAGGGATGGGGCAGCCACGACTTCTCTGGGCAACCTGGTCCAGTGCCTCACCACCCTCAGAGTGAAAAATTTCTTCCTTATATCCAATCTAAATCTCCCCTCTTTCAGTTTAAAGCCATTGCCCTGCGTCCTGTCACTACATGCCCTTGTAAAAAGTCCCTCTCCAGCTTTCCTGTAGGCCCTTTGGGTACTGGAAGGCTGCAGCCTTCATGACGCCTTGCATGTGATGGGCATGTTCTAATGAAGACCAGCCATGGTGCCACGGCAGATTCCTGCATATGATGGACTCGCATGGAAATAGATACTCGACGAAGGTGCCTTGTGTTACTTTGGTATTGAGTGAAACCGTTATCACATTCTTCCATCACAAATAAATCTAATGAAGGGGTCTAGAAGAAATCAGCTACAGAAAATCATAATCTAACACAAATCCGTTAACAAACTTTTATTATATTCTGGTGGAGACAGCCGTAAGCAGGAGAGTTCCTGCTCTCATGTGGATTTAGCAGCAAAGCTGCTGTTCTGAACCGAACCTCCCACTCCCGCTGCCTCCGTGAAGCAAGATTTCCTGCGCCAACACCGAACTTCTCCAAAAAGGGTTGAACGATGCCTACTTCAATCTCCAAACTCCTCATGGTGGCACGTTTCTGCGGCACAGTTGGCGTGAAGGCCCCGCGCCATTGCACCCAG